AGGGAGCTGGTGGAAGAGCTCACCAAGCCAATGTCAATAATTTATAGAAATCCTGGATATCTGGGGAGGCCCCAGGTGACAGGAAGCTAGCAAATATGAAAACTATCTACAAGGGCTGGAAGGAAGATCCTGGAAACTACAGGCCTGTAACCCTTATGGCTCTCCCCACACCAGCCAAGGGCGCCTGCACTGTGTGCAACGTCAAGACTGAGAACATCATCCTTGACCGGCCACCAGTGAGGTGAAGCTCATCACCTTCAGTTGCAGCACAAATCTAAAGGACATGCTATGCACTTAGTTTTCAGGTGAGCCCACACTAGGGCCTGCTCAGGCACAAAAGGGCAGCCTTTGCTGGGGTGGGAATAATTCTTCAAGTTGCTTTTCTCATGGAGGGTGTGTGAGGACGGATTTTGTAGAATGGGAGCCAGCTGGGACTGATGTGGGGGGAACCAGCCCAACAAAAACAATCTGTGGAGGGTAGCAAAGGCATGTTTGCAAAAACTTTGGGCCAGCAACTTTCATTTGCAGGCATGGAAGGGCTTGTGATGCCCTACTCCGCTCTTCTGTCTTGGCCTATAATATTTTTTTTGACCAGTGCAGGAGTGGGGGCAGATAAAAGGCAGTGTTTTCCCTACTCCTGCATGGGCATTTTCCTTGAATAAGGTTGGGCCTTCTTGGGGCTCACTCTGCCCTCTTTCAGGATCAGGGGCTTTCTTTTACAACCTAAAGTTTGTCAACAGGAGTCAGGTGCTGGCAAGAAGGCAGCAGAACACACTGCACTGGGTTCCACCAGTGCAGTCCCCACATCCTCAGGGATGCCAGGCAAGGGCAGTGTGCACCTGATGAGTTCCATCTGTATGTCACAGGAAAGCAGGTGTACAACCCGCCTGAGGGGAGGATAATCTTCCTCTGCTACCATGGACATCCAGTGATGATCTGGTCCCTGGGCATTCTGCTCTGTGACATGGTCTACAGGTTCCATCCCTTAAACAGAGATGAAGACATTATTCTGGCCCATTATCTTCTTCCTGCCATGGGTGTCTTGAGCTGGTACCTGGTTTGCATCACAGAAGGAGTAACAGTGTTGGGAGATTACAGGTGGTATAAGAGCATCCTGTTCTTGCAACTATGGAGGAGACTGATTTCCTATGGTTAGCTGGAGGAGCTGGCACACATCTTACCATCCTGCTCTCCAAAACAGAGATTGGAAGGTTTGGGCACAGCCTGGACACTGCAAACCCTTGAAAAGAGGGGACCATTGTCCAGCAGCTTTTTGACTTCTCTCCCCAGAGTGCCAGCACCTTGCCAAATGGTGTTAACCTATTTGTCCCTTCGACAGGCCATCATTGGAAGACCTTTTCAACCATTCTTGGCTGCAGGACATTCACATACTCCAAGAGATGGCAAAGATCCATCCCTCTGCACAGCAGGATCCAGCAAGTAACAGCTCTACACATCTCATGGCATTAAGAAGCCAAGAAAATCAGACTCTTTCTCTGCAAGTGTAGCACAGAGTAGGGATCACAGCTGATGAGATACTTCTGCTAGTCCTGGGGGAAGTTGCAGAAATGGCTAAGCACTCTCCATGGTATTTGAGAATGGCAGTCCAGTGAAGTTTCCAAGGACCAGAAAAGGGGAAGCATCCCCACTGCAGATCCCTGACTTCATGGTCTTCCTGCAACTCGGCATCTTGTGGTACAAACATCCTTGGCTTGGCCACCAGCAGGGCAAAGGTGATTGACTGTGGTTGCAGCACCTTCCTTGAGGACAGTCTACACCCAGTTAAAATCAAAGTAGAGTCTACAGCTAGTGAGAGGGGGAATGCTCCTTGTCCCAGGCATTGTGTAGTCCAGCCTGGTTGGGCACTGGAGGTTCCCTGCTTTGCTGTGGTGCAGCAGGATTAATTTTTCAGCCAGTTGCTAGGGTATTTTTTTTCAGGGGAGGGCATGAGTATTGTGAAAGGGGAGCTAGTTCCTAGCCTTGCTAACAGCTTTCACCACTGACCCTGGCATGGGCTGGGAGAAGCCTGATGAAAACCTTTACCCCTAGGGGTAGCAGAGGCAGGAGTTCTGAATCCATGCACCAGCAAATTTGCTTTGCAGGCCCTTGCAGAGGGGCTGGGAAAGGCAAAGTTTTTTCCCCACCTGTGGGGAGGTTTAGTGCTTGAAGATAATGCTTCAGTCCTCCTCAGGCCTGTGATACAGTGATATCAGTATAACCCTACATCCAAGAGCCACTAAAAATTGTCCCTGTCACCTTGCAACCACCAATAAAATTACCTGAGTAATACAATTAAACACAACCTACCCTTTTTTCCTCAACCAAACTGCAGGTGAACTGACCAACTGACCATTTTACCTTGTAAGTGTTCCAGGTTTTTGGTTTAAATTTACTTTCATGCATTTGCTATTTGTTTTCTGAAGGAAGATTCTAGCTGGTGCCTGGACTGCATCAGGAAGTGTCGTGACTGTCTGCAGAATGCATTCACTGCCAGTGCCACCCTGGCAGGTACACCTCCTTCAAGACGGATGAGGAGGACATCATTTGGGATCAGCTTCTCTTCCAGCAGCAGGTCTCTTAAGGTGGGTACCTGGCCTCACTGCATGGGTAGCATAGTGGGTAGCAGAAGACAGCAATGGGCACACATGCTTCCCCTCACATTTGCAGGTGTGAGGAGGTTGAGCTCCTGGTTAACTGGAGGAGGTGCCACTAGTCCTGCCATCCTGCTCTCTTTTAGAATTAAGAACTGATTGGTAGGTTTGGGTGCCATTCTGAGCATGGCCACTAACATGGCTGGGCACTACAAATGGGGAAGGGTGGACAGGAGCCTTCTCCAATTGACCATTTTCTGGTTTCTCTTCCCAAAGAGCCAGTACCTCATCACAGCAAAACAGCATCATTGAGCCTATCAGTTTGGTGGTGATGTTTATTTGCTGTCAAAAATATTTTTTTTTGTAAGAAGAGTACTTCTTTTATCCTTTTCCAAGCTTTTTATCTCCTTCCTCTAGGATAATTTTTTGTGTCCTTTACATACAAAAAAATTGTGCGTTTATTGGAATTGGATGGGGGTTAAGCAACCAAAAACTATTTTTTTAATTTTTAAGCATCAAAAAAGGAAACAACAGCTCCCGTTGTTTCAAACTGGAGGGGCTACTTCAGTGCCTCTAACTGCCACTCAAGCACATACCTTACCTTTTTGGTGCTGCTGTTTGTCCCCTAATAACACACTCACCAAATCTTTCACCCAGCCCTAAGAGCCCTCCACAGACCAAACAAAACCACAAACTTGAGGGAAGGACAAACCATGCTGGGTGTTAAAAAGACATGTCCTCAATAAAACAAAAAATGGTATTATGCAATGTTAGTTATCTTTTATGCCTACCTTGTACTAACCTGATGCCTTTTTGTGTCCAGTAATTTGGTATAACCCTACATCCAAGAGCCACTAAAAATTGTCCCTGTCACCTTGCAACCACCAATAAAATTACCTGAGTAATACAATTAAACACAACCTACCCTTTTTTCCTCAACCAAACTGCAGGTGAACTGACCAAATACAGTAACTTCTTCCATAAGCTTTTCAAATTACACCTAATGCTTGTATTTTATTTGGCAAACAAGCAATGTGTGGTCTCTAGCAATACTGGTACCATCATATTCTATTCATTTGCTCATCACAGGTACACTGTTCTCCAGTTCTGATGAAATAAATTGTGCTTTGGTAAAAATAAATTTTAAAAAGCTTTCCATATTGCTATCCAATTGTCACTCATAATTATTTACAATTTTTTTTTCATGCCTATACTGTATCAAGACAAAATAATAATGCCTTTTTTTTTTTTTTCTCCCTTCTTATTGCTTTTCAAGGTACCTCCCATTGGGAATCTTGTTCTGGATATTTTGTTGAATTTGTTTTCATTTACTGGTAGCAAGAACTTGGGAATCTCTTCAATTAATATGCCCATGCTAACAGAACTGTTAATAACTTTTCTTTAAAAAAACTTCTAGAAATCTTGATTTTAAGAAAGGATGTACGGATCCCTTATCTCTACCCCAGAAAAAGTTTTTATCTGACTCTCACAGTTTCATATTGAAGCTGCAGTTTTCCCTGTGCCATAAAATGTCCAGCTTCAATGGCGTGGTTTAGAGGAAGTGAATGAACCAAACAAGATTTTAGCAGAGTTTTGTACATACTGAAAATCTTCATAGTATCCATTTATCTTCAAAATATCTATGATTAAGAACTAATCAAGAGTTAAGAGTTTCTACTGAATAAGTACACAACAAAAAGCAAAAGTTAACAGCACAGACAATGATCTATGTGATCACCAAAGTGTATCTCCTATTTAATAAACAGGCCTAAGTAGACCTGCTATTTACAAGGTATCCCAACAGGGAAGGAATTTTATTTGCCAAGTCCAAGAGACATCCGGAGACAAAAAGCTTTAGTTTTGAATTGTCAAGATGGCTGTTCTTTGAAAACCGCTCTGGTGATTGCAAAGATCCTGAAACCTGTCTTGCTTTGAGAAATACTCCCAGAAGAGTAGCAACTTCAAAGCAGAAAATACCTGCTACAAGTCGAAAAGAATGATTCTTCTCAGACCAAGGTTTCTTCTGGCCTCAGGAAAAGTTCAACACAGGGGCAGTGCCACTTCAAACACTTCAGAATTCCCACTGCAAGTGCTACTGATGTCCTACTTGTGATATGCCAGCTCAAAGAGTCAAAGTTCTTAACAGTATTCACTGTCTACAGGGAGTATGCCACAGACAAAAAACCACGCCATTCCAGAAAATACCTTCTTCCTTGTGCAGCTCCTCTGCTCCATGGCAGTACAGTCAAACAGTAGTAACTAGTAACTAGTTTAAGAAAAAAAAAAATTCAAACTCTTTCAAAGGCAGAAAGATACTTGTTAAGAATATGAAGATCAGATCTTACTATTCTACAGATTTTGCTCTGTCCTGTTAGCATCTCTGTATTCAAAAGAAAACAAAACATCCAGTTTTAGTCAGTAAAGTGTCCATTTAATAAACTCCTTAGCCACATTTCTCACCCCCTTCTTCCCCTCCCCATAAAATTTCCATTCGCACTTAAGCAGATGACACAATTTGATGGTGTACAACTGCAGTTTTTAAATTTCTGCTCTTAATGCTAAGAGTATCAGGGGCTAGTATTTGCCAAAATTACATAGAAGTCAGATGTGCCCATGCAAAAGAAGCCGATCTTTATATACAGTCCCTATTTTTTTCTTATAAATTTAAATATTTTAAAAAATGTATTTTCAAAATGTATAAAGTTTAGGGAATACCCCAAATGTATCTTAAAATAAAATGCTTTCTGGTTCCAAAGGTTATTTCAACAATGAAGACTAAATTGCACCAGATAAAAGGCACTGTGTGTGTGATGTCTTAGGCAAGTATATGTTAGTTTCTTAACAATGTCTTGAATTCATGCAGCTGTCTCTGAGCATCAAGCCATCAAGCCTCATTAAAGCAGCCAAAAGAGATCGTGAGTAAACTTGATTCCACAGTTGTAAAAATATACAGCATTGTGCACTGTCTTTGACTCTAGAATCAAACACTACTGAAAAACTGCTGTCATTCACATGAGAATTCAAACTACATTTCATTCTCTCATAAATTACAAAAAGTATGTCATTTAATTATGAAACTAAACCACCAGTGAACAGCTCAGTGTTCAAATAGTTTGTGCCACTGAAAGTCTGTATTTATAAACAAGCTAGGGACTAGTTATTCAAGGAGCAGTGCATTGTATTTTCAATTTCCATTTCACTGTTGAGATAAAAGCGCAGTCCTATTTGCCTTCATCTTCTCCAGCCTTTTCATTAAATGGCTATTGGTCATCTCCATTTCTTCTATCTTATCCAGTGCTGTTCTTAACTATAAAATGAAAAAAAGTTATCACTTTAGTTTATTTGGACTTTGTGCTGTTTTCAAGCTTGATAAGAGGAATAAAAGTATTATGTTTCATAAGAGTGCCACAGAAGATATAACTTCCATTATTGCAGGCAGATGAAACAGAATTAAACTGTTAAAAGTAATTGTGAAGCAACTGAAACATGAAGTGTATTCATTCTAAAAGAATTAGGTGCCTGCAACTTCCCATTACATTAAAGCAATTTACCTAGAACAAGGTAAACTACTCTCCACCATTATTACTTGCATACAGATACGCATTCCCATCACAGGTAGCAGGCATCATGCTAGTGATGCAGTATCGCTTAAGCAAGAATGATCAACAGCTCAGTTAAATGCAGCTTCTTCCCAGAATCCTGTGGGATCCAAGCTGGAAAATTCCCAGGCTGTCACTTGACATAGGGACCGTTCATCTCTCTAGCAGTATTTTGTAGGACTACTTTAAAATATTACAAGTTATCATATTTAGAAAAAAAAACCCACTTAGATGCTTCCTTTCAAGGAAGTACAGCATTGAATCATAGTTAGCATTACTTTAACGTGCCAGATATCTTCTGAATGTCATATTGAGACTTGAAGGTCATATTAAAAAACAACTAAAAAATGTATTCGATGATTACAAAAGATCAGAGCTTGGAGGTAAAAGACAGCAGCTTAACACAGAAAGGAACATACAGCTGGAAAGGAAACCAAGTCAGTTACCTCTCGCTGAAGCTTCCTTTTTTCAGCTTTGAGTTCATCTTCTACTTTTTCTGCATTTTCTGCTGCATTTTTATACCTTGCAACCTGTCCCTCAAGGCGTCCAATCTGTAAACCCAAACAAGACAAAAGGAACATAACTCAGGTGTTCCACCTGGAGTTCACCTGCCACCAGCTGCTCTTCCAAGGACACAGCTGAGAAGACAGAAGGTTAAAGAATTAAGCAGAGAGAGAAGAACTGGAATACAAAAACTCAAGACTTGGGAAACACATGGGATTAAAAATGAAAGTGGAAAGTTGAAAAGCAGAAACTGTATGAAAAGATGCAAAGTAGAAAGCAGACTGTGAACTGTTATCAGGACATGATGAAAGAGGTCTTGAGACCAAGCACAGAGTTCAGCAGTAAGGAGAGGACTTGAGACAAATCCTGATTGCAACCTGCAGATGTTAAAAACCCACTGGCTGGATTGTTCTATGTACAGCTCCCTGCTACCCCTAAATCCACATGATAGGCTACTAGACTGAATCTGTGCAAAAGAGAAAAGATACGCATCTGTGATTTAAATTACAATCCTTCATTTAATTTTTTAGGCAATAAGCTGTAATTAAGTTCCTAAAATACAAAAGTATGGCAGATTATAAAGAACTGAAGCTACTAGTTCAAGAAAACCAATTCCTGTAACTTAATGACTCATAAGAAAGTTGTACTGTGGAAGGTACAAAGTTTACTCTCTACAGTTATACACCTACAAAAACAATCACACTTTTTAAGTCAATAACATGGTTTTATAGCTCAGCACTGTAAGATTTTCTCTTATGGTTAGGCTGTGCACAGGTATTTAATTGTAGGAAATATGAATAAAAATTGGTGTCATTCTATGTAAACTAAATACCAAACAGTAAATTAAATTATGAAATATGCTTTCATAGTTTTTGTTGAAAAAAGTATTGCAAAAGTGTGCAGTGTAATAACAAACATGAAAAAAGACACTTACATTTTGTTCCAAAGTAGTTATATCTTGTTCAGCTTTTGAAAGCTTAAATTTGTATTCACTTATTTGTCTGTTGGCATCTCCTAGATGAAAATTGACATGAATATTAGTCAAAGCAACTCTCTAAAGTAGCAGTTCCCCTTTTAATTAAAATTAATCAAAAAGACCATTTTATTGAGAAGTCCATACCCAGGATCACAAAGAGGTAAATGTTCTTGCAGCAGTCTACAAGAGTATGGAAAGGAAATAATTTTATTTAGAGAACACAGCTACAGTCTCTATTAAGTGTGCATTAAATCTCAGGCGCACCAATGAGATGCACACCTTTTAAAATACATGTTTAGATCAGCAAATTAATTCCTCAGAGATCAACATAATAATCAACACACACTGCAAAATGCCAGACCACAATAAGCATTGAGCAGCATTCAACTTAACATCTATAATAATACTTGAATAAGGAGCACAAGGCTTGAACCTGACTGACAAACTCTAAGGAGATTTGCAAATTATTTTGGTGTTACATTTGAGCTATCACATTGCCAGTGCTTTGTTCATATTCATTAACACAAGCATACTAAATGACAGTCTGTCAAACAAGTTTTCAGCTGAATAGCTTGCTTGAAATGAAAAGCATCTTATGCTTCTATGAAGCAACACTAAATATTAAGTTAAATAAATTTTCACGTTTTGCTTCGGAACAGAAGTCTTCTAGATTAGGTTTCTATATCAAAGATTGATTGAACAAAATCATCCCACAGAATATGTATTTTAAAAAATCTTATCTGAGATTCTATTGTCTAAAAATTGTATCCAAGTAGTGGCACCCACTCTAGGCAAGGTTATCAACTGAAAAATAACCAGAATGTTGTTCTTCAACACTAAAAGAGGCAGATTTTTAAGGTACTCTGCAGTGAGAATTCCATGCAAGGAAATATACCAGCAAAAACCTATCTACTCAACAATACAGTCACTCACAATACCAATAGTGCACAATAAGAGTAGTTGGAAGTCCTCTCTGCAAGAATAACTTTGAACAGTAACCATATACCTACTTTGCATTTCAATTAGCTGCAAGTCAGAGCCATTCTCCAAGTCTATTGTATCTGGATTCATGCTATCACTTTTAGAGTATTTCTGTCGTTCTTCTTCTAACTGCATCTTCAGTTTTCTAACCTGAAAAAGGAAGTGTTTCATTATTAAAAAAAGACTCCCAGAAGTTCAGTAGCTGTGTATCTAAATGTTCAGTGGTAAAAAGGCAATGGTAAAAAGGCATGTCATCTACTGAGATGCCACTGGCTGAAAAGGTTCTGTAAACAAGAATTGCAAAGTGATGCAGGGGAGTCAGTCCCTGAAGTTTGTGGCTGTAGACCCCCATTCCCATCACTGGGCAAGTGCCCTCTGCATGTCAATGCACAACCCAAGCCCACCAGTTCGGTCAGTACTGCAGGGATATCTGTACATTGCAGGAGCACCTTGTAACTAACACAGCTCACTTTTCAAAAGAGGAGATGGCATTAAAGTCTGCTAATGGATTTCTTCTACTGTGTATGTTTTCCACTCCAAACACACAGAAAGATATTGAACACTATCCTAGTGAATTTACAGACAATAATCCATGGCTTTTTTAGGGTGCCCTTTCTCATACTCCACCTGGGAACAATAGTCCTAGGCAAGCCTGTAGTGCACAGTAGTCTTTAATAGCTCCATTTCATGCTACAGCAGCTGTCTCTCAGTTTTTCCAATAATCAGGGAACATAGATTTCTCAGCTATGTGCCCTGTGTATGGACATTATGAAAGAAGTAGGGGCTACTTTTTGGACACTCTTATAAAAATATTGTTCTGCGGATTAGCAGCATGTGAGTTAACTTGCAAAACGCCCATTCATGATACAAATCAAATATATGATCAGTGATTTTTAAATTATATAGTGATAAATGTGTGCTTACATATTTTTATATATTCAATACTATAATTTATTGGCAGTCCAAAAAAAATCTATACTATAATTGAGGTTCATTCACAGCAAACCCAAATGTTGACAACAATGCTTTACATTTGCAATGTCTTCAGCTAAAAGAACAAAAACTGTAGTATTCTTAACAATTGCTCAATGGCTATATGTTTGCTTAAGTCCTTTCTTCTCAAAACAAAGGTGTATTTAAACACTATTATTTTTAATATTAATTTTCTCTGAGTTACCAAAATGATCAATGAAATAGTATCACTCAGCAATTTTGAAGAAAATGCAACTTGAGCTTATGAGAGTGTAGTTGTACTGACTTTAATATTTATGCATAAGACAATTGCACAGATAAAAGAAAAGAAAATAAAAGAAAGAGCTTTAAGGATATGCACTAATAGTAAAGTCAGGAACAAGTTAAATTTCAGTTAACCAGCTACTGAAATGAAGTTTCTTTACCAACCACGACCAAAGTCCCATGGATAAGGACAATAGCAAGAGGAACTGCTAATTCCAGATAGTCACTGAGGTAAAAACTTAAGTATTTAATTTTGCTTTAGTGCTTACATATCTGATTAAGTACTTTTGTGCTTAACATTTGTTTATTGCATATATATAAATAGTCTTCAAAATGATACACAAAGTTGTACTTCTGAAATGAGTAACTTATTTTACCTGGGACAGTAATTCCTCCTTTTCTCCAGCCAGTTTTCGTAGCCTGATATCTAAAACCAAAGAACCCAATTAAAAATCAGAGAAATCTATAACTAAGAATGTTTTTCATAACTTTTTGTTCCATTCCAAATGAAATGCTCATCAAAGCTAACAACAACTAGGACCACAAAACTTTGATATCTCACTAATAACACAACAACCTCCAGTTAATAGCAGAAAAAAGGGAAAATACTTTATTCACACTGTTTATTAGTATAACAATTCTAAAAGCAAGACCTCAGAGTTTATCAAACAGCAAAAGTTTAGCAAATATTTCTACTTAGTCAAAAGATCAGTAATGACCACAAGCCATTACTACAGTCATGCAAACACTGTGCTAAGACTAGAGCAGCTCCCTTAGAAATTGTAACTGACAGAAATGAAGCATAGTAACATTTGTATTCCCCTGTGAGTGAGCCAAAGCAGAAGTATGTATCAAGTGTAATTTATGTCAATACAAAAATATGTAGTATAATTCAATTATATAGAGATTCAATTTATGTATCATTGTACAAGTAAAATTCAATTATAGAGAGATTTTTTTCTACATGTTAACAGAGTTTTACAGTGGGTTGACCATGCATACAACACCTTGCTCAACCTAAAGATAAAAGCAAGTTAAAATAACTTAATCCCAAAACCCTCAATTAGTGTGTCTGTTGTCCCTATCATTTTTTGAATGCTTTTAAGACTTCTTTTTCTAATGAATGTGATGGAAGACTGCACTTGATGTTCTTTCATTGATTACGTATACTTCTAAAGAATTATTTTCATGAAACACAATTGAAAACATACTAATCCAAAAAATGACGTTTTAAGCAAAATGTATTCCATCAGTATTAAAACAGGAATTGGACCAAGAGAACTAATCAGTTTCAAACATCTAAGCACATATTATTTTTTCTTACTCAAAAGACATCTGACTTTTTACTCAGAACAAACAAAAATTAAAATCAGTCCTGAAAGTTGGGTAAGCATATATTCCAGAAGTATCACAGGTGCTTGCATATGCAAATGTAAGTCACACCCACGGTGAATGAGAGGAAACAAAGCCCTCAAAAACTCTATAAAGTGTGCTAGGATACTTTTACCTAGTGGTCCTTCTCCTGCAGATTCCAAGACCTGAGCAGCTTCTTGTGATACAACTGTTATTGTACCAACCACCGATTCATGGTTTAGATCACCATTTGGTGTACCATCTGGAATTATAACTAATCCATGTTTCTAAAAATACAAAAAAAAAATAAACTAGTCACGCTACAGAAGTGCTAAAATACAAATCAACAGATAAGTTTTTAAAGAGCTTTTCAAATTCATTGAAACAATTAGAATGATATGAACCATTTGTCCTACCCTAAGGTCAGGTTTTCAGAGTGCACAAGAATTCTTCCTCCTTTTTATTGATGTTGATTTCATGTCCCCATCCTGGATTTGTTACTATAAAGTAACTACTACCAACATACCTGTCCTCTCTTCATTGTTTCCTTCAGGTCAGCCAACTCCTCTCTGAGCTCATCTCGCTCATTCTTAATGCAGTCAAAGTAATCTTTCTGTCTTTCTAGGGCCTGGACTCAGGCAGATAGCAAGAAAAAGAATGGCACAGAGAAAAAGCAAATGACAGACAGCAGAAAGATTTTCTACAAGTAAATACAAATAGCTCAATACAAGTAAAGAAATTAAAAGCACTTTTTAAATATGTAGTGATATACATCTCTGATAACTGCCTTCTACAAGTTGCATATCTAACTTAGTGTTGCATTTGTTATTACTTTTTTCTTAGATTTTTGAGAGGTTTTTTTAATCCAGTGAATTCTAGTTTTTTGTAGATTTTGATAAACTAAATTGAGTACCAAAAGAGTAAGTGATTCTTCTCATACAGGCACTCTGCAGCAAGAAATAAAATCTGCTGAAACGTAAATGGCAAAGATACTAAAGCAGTACATCTATTGAACTAATTTCTCTGCCTTTTATAAGGTACAGAAGTAGAAATCATACATCATAGAAGACCTTGAATGTATCCACTCATGAATACTAGTTTATTTACTAGTTGCTTAAGGGTTACAACACTGTTTACTAAACCCAAGGGAATCAGTTTTAGAGAGAAACAAAAACAGCAGCAAACACTAGCACATTTTAGCACAAAAAAGTACAGCAGCTGGAAGTGCAACATGGGTGTAGATAGGTTTGCCTAGCTAAGCTGGAGAAGTTATGTGGTAGTTAGTTGGACACTTCTACTTGACTGGGCAGCATACAATACTGCATGCATTAAAAATAATCCTCACCATACAGCAAGTGCCAAAGTATACACACATTCTGGCCAATAAAATAATCCAACTAAACCTCATCCTATACATGTATGTGTAGGAATGGAGTGATACCATGAAAGAAATGAAGGTGTGTACTTGCCTCATGTAAATTCAATATACTGAATTTTAATAATTATCTAGAATCTGTATACTAGAGCACTATTCTAAAGCATTACTCAGTTTCAACAGAAAATTTTGACAAGTGCTGTTACACTTGATTTATTCATATGTAAATGTAACATATAAAATAAAGACAATTCAACATGTGTAAACAGTAGCTGATGTCTTAATTTAAAAATCTGTAAGATGTCCTTTTCTTTCCTAGCACACACTAGATCTCTACTTTATAAATAGCATGAAGAACCTTAATCATGACATAATTTTGTGCTCTACTTAAAAGACACATGCATCTTTTTAATTTTTGAAGAACAGTGGAAGAGATGGAAGGGGAAGTAAGCTCACCACTTGAGAGAATGGACACAGTGGCCCAGAATCACAGACACAGATTGTGTGTACTTGACAGTAACCTGTGATGATGTTGACCTTCCCCAAACATATTTTCTATCCTTACCCCCGAATAATACAAGTGTTGGAAATCAGAAAATTCTGATGGGGGAGGAAGTGAAACTGATAGAACTACATATTTCTACCTATGTAGATCTAAGTCATCGTTATTCAAAACCAGTAAAAATCCTAGTGTTTATACACTCATGGTTTAATTTAATATGACATGGATTTTGCACAAAATCTACCTCTGGAATTCTTCTGTTGGGGCAGGAAACAGAAATCAGGACAACAAAGTTCTACAGACAGATTTTGCCATACTTATATGAGCAAAATCTGATAATATGCCAGAATCCTGAGACATTTGGAATCCTTTTTTCTAAATATTCCAAAAGCCTTCATAACTTTTATACCAAACTCAGAGTTGCCGTTACTAAATGAAAATTTGGAGCTACTAAACAGTAGAATAACTGTGTATTTCAGGAATATAACATAATGCTGTAACTCAGTGTCCTCAAACTGATCTAATTTAAGAACAAATATAACCACAAATTTCAAGCACTGTAGAAACAGGACAACATATGAAGGCAGGTGTAAAACAAACTTGTGCTATTTTGTTCTGTTTGCCTCCCTTTCTTTTTCTGAAACAGCTAAAATGTCTTATATACATTGTAAAATTTGGTTACAATTTTAGTTAAAAACTACACTGTGAAGTTTCACGGTGACATCTAAAGCTGCAATAGCGTAAAAATTAGCAGTAGGAGGGAGAAAGGTTCAAAAACTGTGAGCTAAAAGTATGTAAATATTTAAAGATATGAGAAAGAAAACAGCAGCATTTTTACATTTTCTTCTCTAAGAGAGTTCAATTTTGAGAATTAAAAAAACCCCAAAAACTAACTAGAAAAATAACCAGTTATGGTGTTTACAAGAACACAAACTGGCAGGGCAATTTTGGCTAAAGTAAAATATATCTATCTTTCTTGTCATTCTGGCTGGCAGGTATGTTTGAATATTGGATATACTCGTAGTGATTCTGGCAATGTATTTGAAAGAGCACAAAAATATTGCACAAATTGAGACAGTCCACTATACAAATGTGAGAAATAAGTATGGAAAGGATAGGGTAAATTAAAGATAAAAAGCCTTCAGAAGAATGTTCAGAAAACTTTAGAATGTTGAATTTTTTTATGATGGAAGAGAAAGACTGAAACATGAAAAAAAGTAAGACAGCAGTTGAACAGTTTTTGAACTGGCCACCACCAGTTAAAAGGCAGCTTTTCAAGGTGACTTGAACTCCAGCAAATAAAACAATTTTCAAAGAAACCTGTATATATTGAAATATGGTATAAAATTCAGGTAGAGAGAAATGACCCCTGAGCTGTCAAGAGGCAGACAATGCCTTTTTAAAGGCTTTCTAATTAACTCTCTATTGCCACCAGGCAATCTACTTGTGTCCCAGAACAGCCACAAGTTCAGAGACATGTGGTCATCACCAATGACTCCTTTCTGGGACTTCTAGCTGCCCAGAAGCAAAGCTGACAAACTGTGCCTGACCTACATTAGCTGCATAGTATCAGCACAGTTCTTTCTGTACCACTCTCCTTCCTACACAGATACCTTACGGATGCTCCTCAAAAGGTCACCCACAACCATTGTTTCAATTACGATTCTCAATACCCAAAGTATTTAATGTGTCATATCACAAAACCAGCTTGCTTCAGTGTTGCATCCAAGCTAACCAATTATACAAGGATCAGAAGTGCAATATAGGAATGCGCAAAGAACTCAATTCAAGATCATATCTTTTACCACTAGGCATGCCATCAAAAATTTTGCAAAAAAACTGTAAATTCGTATGTGTAACAGTTCATGTTACAAATTTAATTAGTACTACTTATCATTATTCAAGTAAAGTGTGTCTCATTTTCTGAAGAAGAGAAAGACCGCAAAACATTTGATTCATATAAGCTGGGAGTGGCCTTAATTTCTTTGAAATACACAGAATTCCTTGGGGTGTTGAGGGCATCCATCTACTTCTAAATTTAAAAAAATAGCTTTCCTCCCATATTTCATTCATACCCCTATTTTTTTATCTTTCCAATTAATTGTCTCCTGGAGATCAAACACTTCTTTGGTTATGAAGTCTATATTCTCCTGCATACGTTGATTCGCCTGTAGTAAATAGGATGAGGGAAGAATAAAAGAGGAAAGAGAAGTAAGGAAATGGAAAAAAAAATTCCAAACATTAAAATAGATAAAGAAAACTAAGTAATAATCAAAGAGTTTATGAGCATGAAGTTACAGAAACAGCGTGCAGTTTAATGTAATATATTTCTCATTAATTCATGCAAGAGAATGGTATTTAATTCTATTCAATCACTGTTGTTGCGAAAACTTACTGCAGCTAGAGTTACTTTTCTTTGGTGACTGTTCCCACTGCAGTCTGTGGATCAAAACAATTTCCCTGCTTTCCAGATACCTTCAAGTCCCCTTTGGAACTGAATATTACTGTAAATAATTGGTTTGATTAATATTTTACAAAATAAAATAATCTTCTTGAAAGTATAAAGAAGGGAGTTTGAATCAAACATCCAGGAAGCAAAAGACAATTGCTGACTGCTTTCTGATACCATATGAATACGTATCAAGTGTAGTCCTACTTTTTTTAGCTGACTATCACAGCATTTTGTTGCTTCCCCTGCAAACATAATTAAATGCTTAGCTATGAAGATGACTTAAGAATTTTAAGAGCTAGAGACAATTTTTTTCCTTCTTAAGAGTGAACTTGATTTTACATCTAGGAACAGAAGACAATGTCTTTCTGCAAAAAGCTACGTGGCTTCAGCTAGATTTTCTGTTAGTGTTAATAGATAGGAAAAAGACACAATAGGTGGCAAATACAGGTCAAACCTTCAAAGGGACTGAATGTATTTGTGACTGTTTGACACATGCTATAGCCTACCAAAGTAAAGACGCCAGAAAAATCTACTGCATAGTCTTAGGTCATATACTCAAACCCCACCAAAACCCCAAATATGCAAATCTGTTCTTTAATTCTCAGTGAAGTCAAAGATAGCAGAGCAAGCAACAGACCCACAACAGAACTTTTTAGGGCTTTTGCTTGTCAGCGTTTATGCTAACTCAAAATGCTGATACTTAGGATAATCTTAATCCTTTTCTTCTCCTATTAAGTCATATCAACTCCAGTTCATGAAGCATAATACTTCTAAAACAGAACTAGGCCTTTTCAGAAACCATTTTGAGTTACAGTACCTACCACCTAGAGAGCATAAGAAAGTGTGAAGTGAAGAAATAAAGGATCAATGAACTATTACACAGCTTTTGAAAATGACAGTAGGAGACTTTGGCCTATACTCTTAAAGATAATCAATTTTTACTGCAATGAAGACACAGTGGCAAAATTATGTAATAATTGAACTACAAGTTCCAACTAAAATAACTGGGAATGGACACCCATATACTGCTGACAATATACATTCATATATATATATAATCTATCTATATGTATATATAGATATCTATATCTATCTATCTATCTATATATATATATATCTTTATGGACCATTTTAAAATGAAGACTGATAATAACTTTGGGATTTCAGGGCAGGTGGGTTTGTTTCCAGAAACAAAAGGGAAAAGGGGAAAAAGAAGCAGGTGAGAGGGGGAAAGAACACACTGCACATCCAGCAACATAGTTGTGGCCCAATAACATGTTGACCATGTGTGTAATATGCTTTTAGCTATGGAAAATTATTTTGGCCACACAAATATTAATTCTGCCCTCACAACAAAGAAAAGATACTAGGAACATTCATGAGAGAACCACAATTTCTCACAAGAATTAAAGGCTTTGCAAGATGTAATACATTTGAAAACCTTGCAGAGACATTTCAGCTTCATAAATTCAGGAGGATCAGCAGCTTAAATTCTACACACTAAACCAAGGTAAATTATTTCTTAATAATGCAAGATAGTATTTAATCCTGTTTTGTGTATGATTTCCATTCAACTCTTACACCACATTTAGTTGCACAGGTTCTATCCTACACTCATATGAGCATACCTCTATCAATTCATCTCTCTGTCGAAGGCCCTCTTTAAGTTCATCCAGCTTATGCTGCAGAACACTGCAGGTGTGTTTCTGTCTTTCCAATTCCTGTATTAAATAAATCAATTATTTATATTTATTTTGAGTTATGTAAGAAATTGCTGCATGGATTTAAGAAATTATACCTAACAAGCAGTTAAAAGACCACTGAAGGGGTCTAAATAAGTTGTCCAGACACTTACTACACAGAAGATTTTATTTAATAAACTGTAGAGAGAAAAAATTCCATAAAGACTTATGCCCAATACTAACAAGTAAAGCTACACTGAGTATTTTCAGCTCTTCTTAATAAGTAGTCCAGGTTTCTGTACTTTATAATTAGAAAAAAAATACCTTTGACTTCTCTTCATTCTCCCTATAGAACTCTGCTATCTGTTCTTCTTTCTCCTCAATAACATCCTTTAAAGTATCCACTTGGTAAATCAAGTTGTTTTTCTCGTTGTCTAGTTGGGCATTGGAAACCATAGCTTTCTTGTACTTCTCTTCAACTTCAGCTAGTGAATCCTACACATAGCAGAAAAGTTCACATTAGTCTAACTTTTTGATGCATTGTTATAACATTAAAATACCACCATAATGTCAAAGTATGAGATATTAGACATTAAAATTATGCAACCATTTTTGTTTCTGAAATATATTCTTCAGAGATAGCAAGTAACAGTTTAGGTCTATTATTCACCTTCAGTCATAGACAACAATGAAAAGTTACAAAAAGCATGAAAAATACAAGATAACATTCCACTTGCATTTTCTACTCTGCCACATTTACAGCAGCTCACAGGGATACAGTAGTAACATCACAGCTTCACATTCTAGTGAATACCATGTAGTACGAATATCAGTGTTCTCAAGGCATACATGAGAAAACAGTTCAGAATGAGGCAACAAATCAAACAGAGAGAATGTGGACAATTAAATCAGTAAAAGAGACGACAAAAATAATTCCAAAGTAGCTTTAACTTAATACTCGCTATTTAAGTAGCATTGTATGACCTTAGATTTAAATCTTTAAGACAGCCACATGATTCCAGTAAAAAGGATTTGCTATTTAAACAGATATTTTATCTTTGGTTTACTTACTAATTTTTTTTCAAAAGCATGTAACTTGATTCTCTACCTAAAGGCGTACATGCCTTGCTATATAGCCTCTTAAACAAATCTCTCCCATTCACCGTTTTATCTTGTTTTAATTATAGTTGGGGTTTTTTTGTCAGAGTTGTAACAAATATCAACCATTTAAATACTTAGGAAACTATCACTCCAGGCACTTTTAAGCATGCCTTTATTTCAATATGCATTATATAGGGGTTGAGACTACAAGATCTTTAAGGTCCATTCCAACTCCTTAACATTCTATGATTTAAAAATAACAAAAATTTATTTTCAGACTCCTAATTTTAGAATTGAAAAAGAACTATTACGCCAATCCCTGGAAAAAGTAGATCTAAGCCCTACTACAAATGTCTTTGTACTTCATGTAATCTGTTCCTTGAAGGCATAAGTAGCATTATCTCAATTTTTAAATATTTATATTTTGACAGTAGAAGCACTAGCACAGGAAGGGCATGAAGCTTGGGTTTCCAGAAAATAGAGCCCTACAACTAATATAAAAAGGTGGCAACAATGTAAGTTTTCTAGGAAAATACTTAAGACTGCTATCTGTTAAACAGTAAAATTATGCAATCATTTTTGATTTAGAATTATAGTCATGTCTTCTCTTTAGAAATACCAAGTCACAGTTCAATATTCCGTTATGAGAAAGCAAAAAAAATTCCCTATCCCCAAACACTATTCCACGCACTATTCCACATTGTAAATCTCCAGTTTGGGAAAGCTGTCCTTAGAGTATGTATTTCATCTTTTATAATTTTATCATAATCACATATATTTATTTCACTGAAATCTAGAAATCTCTGCTAGAGAAATATAATTTTTTGAAACCCCAGAAAAAATAATCACAGGTCAGAAGAGACAAAACAGTGTAAGTTGTGAAAATATAAGACAAGTACCATTATAGTCTAGGAAGTAGTAGCAAACAGCAAAGATGACTCAGGATAAGAAAAAGGAAAAAAAAATATATAAACATAAGCGTGTGCAAGTAATTCTTAAGATTAAAATTGGAGAAAGCATTTCTTTTTGTGATGCTGTAAATACAACAAATTTTGTAAAGATTGGTAAAATAAAATGCTAGATAGAGCTAGAAAACCTAAAGACTTTCAAAGAATAATCCAGTTTAGTGTAAAAAAACCCCGAAGTATTAGGATTATAATGAATGCTGTAGTAATTTCACACGGAGGTATGACATGTAACAAAAAAAATGTGACTAGAGAAAAAGTCCAGTTTGATCACTTTGATTATTTCTGTAAATGTGGTGACTGGGGTCATGTGGTAATTTATTTAGCAGAGATCTCTGAATGCCAGCTGGTCCAATCTCGTAACTAAAGAGGGTCAACTGAGATCAGGCTGCTCACAGCTCATCTCCATTTTAATTATCTCCAGAAATCTAGACTGCAGATGGTCAGACTTGCTGGATGACCTGCACCAGTGTTTGGCTTTCCTTGTGAAAACCCTTCTTTCTTGAGTTCAAATTGGATTTTTCTGCTCCTACAACTCAACTTTTGTCTGTTTTGTCTTTCCCTTGCAAAGAAGTCTGCCCTCTCCACAACCTCCTATCAGACACACTAAAACAGCAACAATATTGCCAACCACTACTTCAAGACTTATCAAAGCCAGTTGTCTCAGCCTCTTACTGTATGCCATGTGTTCCAGGACTCCAACCTTAAAAGACAAGACTAGGCTGGGGCTTAAAACATTGCATTAGAATGTCGTTAATTAAAAAAATAATGGCAGGGGAGGATGAATCTGCGGTTACAAAAGACTGATTTGGATACTCCAAGTGAAAACTGCTTCTGAGAGAGAAGCTAAGTTATGTCTAAGTCTCTATTGGGTAAAAAAACCTGAAACATTGCAAAGACTTCTTTGCAACTGTCTTCTTTTCAAGTATTACACATGTTCCCCGTGATTCAAGAATTCCATGCAGCTTTAGGGAGTCTTCCAGTTTGATTTGAAATAATTTCTGAAACAGTTGAAGGAGGCTGTAGAATTTTTAAGGATGAAGCAGTGGGAATGGGATGGAATGAAAACATATAAGGCTCTGCATATAACTGAAAGCTATGAAGAAACACCACCCACAACTTGATCAGTAAAGTGCTATAAAACTTAGCTTGCTCAGCTAGAATAAGATGATTCAAGCTAACAGACATCAAGAGAGTGCATGTTAACAGCATAAAAGAAAAATTTTGAGGAAAGAAACAGAATTCCTTTCCAGCCGATTCAAAGAAATACATAAAGAAGCAACAAAACAATCAGACGGAGACAGCAAAATATTTGAAGACCTAACTAAACCAGAAATAACAACATTAGAATTTATCCTGCTGTTTATACTGATACCCAGTATATAACAGTATATTTGTAGGCAGGTAAAACCCACACTTTTAGCAGCATAAGGGCAACCAGAGAGCTCAGAAGGTAGTGTGATTACAAATCCCTATTAGTCCAACACTGGAAAAAACCAATCAACCAAAATCCCCAACATTTAAATGCAGTGTAAAGCAGGTATCCTGGTAACTCTTCTATAACACACACAAGACAAAACTGATCAAGTATAAGTTGAGAAAAAGGCAGTACCTTCCTAATTAAAAAAAAAAGTTCCCAAAAGAATCTTTATGGAATGTGAACTAACCTAGGAACATATAATTCAGTATTAGCAGCAACATAAATGCAGTTCAATTCTGAAAGCCAAGCACAGATTAAGATTTTACTATTGCATACTGTGCTCTTTGGTAACTGTAATGGATTACAATAAATAACAAGTCAGAACAATAATCATAACATGCTTGCAAACACATAAAAGAGTGAGAGTTAGATCCATTCTGAAAATGTGAAGCAGTCTCACATTACACTTGATCTATGGCTCATACATCTATGTCTAATAATCCTGTAATCTACTACTCTTTGAAGTCCTTTTAATATTCATATGTCAATATAACTAAACCAAAACATACTTCACCTGAAAATATTGTTATCAGGTTTAAAGTTTCCTTTAAAAGTAAAGTTATACTCCAAAGAGGAAATAACTTCTGCTACACTAAACAGCTCATATTACATATTTTCCCCTTACTATATAATCTAATATATAGTTAAATTGAAGAAATTCAAGTAAGCTGATAAGTACATCACTGTTACATACTCTAATACAAGAAGCATTCATTTAATTCAGTCTCTAGATGGATATAAAACATATGAAAAGTTCTCTTTACTTTTACATTAAACCATTCATAATTAGACAATAGAAAAGACAACACAACAAATATCCTGGAAAAGACTTGTAAGCCCCATAATTTTTTGAATTCTCTATCCCTTCAATACAAAACAGTGAAAAGAAGGATTATTTTAAATTTACTGTACTGTTAATTGTGTGAAAATGTATAAAAGAAAGGCATCCATACTAGTTTAAACAAGTCTAAATACAGACAAATCTCCTGTGGAAGACTACACCTAGTACAGGTAGTTAGCTCAGTGTGCTGCTGCAGTACAAACTGCAGATTGCACCCTCAGTATGGGGAAATGACTGGAGCTTCCAGTAAGAGCAGTGATTGGGTGCTGACCCTTTGCACAATAAGGTGGATGGGAACATGTGGCACCAGCCAGGTAACCAGCCACTCAAGAGATACAATGGGAGCCAATGGCTCAGCAAGAGGACAGGACTCCACACCACTGTGTGCATGGACTGTGGATACAAAAGTCCACGGATTGCTTGATTTAGGGTCCCTCGTTGGCAGCACCCAGCTTGATCTCGAGCTAGTTTTGTGTGACTCTGCCATGATTAAAGTACTTAGAAAAATCAGATGTCTGAGACTCTTGTTATGGGAAACCTGTGGCTGAGCCTGTAAGGAAACCTTAACTGACAGTGTGAGAATGGTGTGTGCAGCCAGTCTAGTGCAGCATCCATTTACTCACTTGGTGACTCACTGGAGGGTTTTGCACCCAGCAGTGAAAATCTGGGGCGGTAGGAATTTGACTATCACAGTGGATGCAGGATTGCCAGACAGCAAAGTTTCCTTAGCACTCATTATCCTAATACTGAAAAAACCAATCTGTGATTTAGAGAAAATAATGGGACTATAAACCAGCATAAATTATTATTTTTAATGGCAAAAAATTAAAACAAAATTAATTTTCTCCTGCAAGCAATATGCCTGACGAAATTAACTGCAGTACATCTTTCAAAATTATTATTTTGCTTTTGCTTTGTAATATGAAGTATTTGCTGAAACTTAGAGGACTTTTTAAGCTCTTTGCCATAATTATCTCCCATTTCTTTGTTCCCCATTTAATACCTAGTAATAATTTTGTGTATCTATTTATTTGCTAACAAACCTCTAAGAATATAAACTGAAATACCTCATTATCTTATCAGAAAACACCTATATATATAAAAACATCAAAAAGTATAAGCTCTTCTAACATAATCAAATAAACATGCAATCTCATATACATTTTGAACTGATGGTCTTCATGCATTAGAAGTTAGATACGTGCTTTAAAGAAATTTAAAAATTTGTTAGTGAAGCCACTATACGTTAGTGAAACTGGTGATAACTCTATTATGCAAAACACCCATTCAGAATGCATGCTTGGGAAGAGCCCTGATACCTTTAATTCTTTAAGTCCCTGCATGTATCTCCCTTCTACATCATGTATCTGGTCCTTAAGATCATAGATATCCTGCAGGACATAGGAATAAACCACTGCATAAGAAGTATGGGAAAATAATTTAAAGTTGAAAAAGTATTAACAGGTTTACATGCACTTCTGTCAAATGACAAAGCCTGCAATAATTCCCAGAAATTAAAATTAATTCACAACAACTTGATGGAAATTAAGGTTTTGTTTAGAACCCTAACTCCCAAGACATCTCAAATAGGACAGATTTATTTGAAATTCGACAAACAAAGCTTAATAAGGTAAATGCTTAAGCCATAACTCTAAACACAAACCAAGATAAAATACCAAAAAAGTAAAAAAATACTTCATGATTGAAAATTACATCCTCATAGCATTTTCTTATGATAATAGAAGTTCTGTATTAAAAAACAATCTTCCTATTTAAACTAGCTCCAAATTCTCTAAAAATGCAATTCACCCGTAATTCACTGAGGGAGGCATCAGGATCCACCAAACTACTTGCATCTCCACTTCCTCTCCTAGATGAGTTGCCACTCTGAGGAGCTGCACTTACTGAATTGCGAGATGAGGGCTTAAAAAACGGAAAAACATTGTGTTAGGAATCATATGGTTATTTCTGGTATACTTGATAATACTCTTTATAAATTTCTTCAAAGTCACTGAACATTTTTCTCTCTGGTCTTTCTTAATACTAGCTTACAGACAGTATTTTCCATTGAGTATTTTCCAGCACCTGTGTTTCTTCTTGGTAAAATGTTGGTTCCTTGTTGATGACTTAGTGTATCAGAACATTGGAATTTTGAGTCACCTATCAGGAAGATATTCGTAATTGGCTAATAGTACTGAAATACTGTAGACATTTACAATATTACTAACTATTATAATTTCTGCCATCCAGGATTCAGAAGAAAGCCTACAATGAGAATCTATCATACAGATTTTTATAGCTTTAGCCTCCTAAATTTTAGCCTTTTCTGGTAAGTATTTCTCACATGAAAAATAAATTGTATAGAAAATTATTACTGGCCAAAAGTAAACTAAAGAATAAATTTTTTCCCTCAAGAAATAAAAGTCATAAACCATTAACTCTGGGCAATATAAAAGTCTATCTAAAAATATTTTTGCAAGCTAGCCCTGACAAAAATACAAAGAATACACAGAATGTATACTTTTTGAATTATTTTCAACACTTGTGATTTGTGAATGAACACTGACTTTAAATAATTTTAAAAGTTTTTTTAATTTTAAAAACTCTTACCCTTGAAAATATTTCTGAATGTGATTTTTCACTCTTTTCTTCCAGCTGAAAGAGAATAGGGAACATGATTACCTTTCATAATAAGGACCTACTGAATTGGTATCTTTTGTTCAAAGAGACTGAGAAATATTTTTAAATTAAATAATTTTAAAAATTCCAGATGTTAGCATAGATCAAGACAGGAAAAATAATAATTAGCTTAAAAATAGTTTTTACCTCAATTGCAAAATAAATGTAAAGTAAAAAGCTTGTAAAGAGAAAAAGCCAGAAATCTTTCTTTAAAGTTTTTAAAATGTCATTACCAGTACTGAGCAACAAAATATGCTTATTCTTAAGTTTCGATTGTGTTTAAATAATTTCAATTAAAAAATTTCAAGTAATTTTTAAATTTCAAGAGTAATCACTACAATACTAGATGGCATAACAGATGCAAAGCTTCATGCAGGTACACTTCTGGCAGTTAGTGACAGCAGGGTGAATGCCGTAGTTAACAGAAAACACATCTGTACATTCAACCTCTTTAGTGTCACTTGCAATTACATCACAACAAAACTGGTAAAACTTGCAATTACATCACAATAAAACTGGTAAAAGCCTATAACTGAAGTGTATGAAGTAAAAGCAATCTACAAGATAATTTTAATTCATATTCTATCTACTGAAGACTAAGGAAAAGAACTACCACACTCCCTTCTTACTTAGGAAACTGCTATTGCAAAATTGTATTGTAGATGTCCACATTTTCTACATTTCTATGAATCAAAATAGATGGGATTAGACACGTATTTAGTATGGTCTCTCACTGCTTCTCAAAGGACACCTGTTTCTCTCTATGCCAGGGAGAAGAGTTTTGGAAGTCTATTGCAATCACAGAAGAAACAAACACTACTTTATAAGACTTTTCTTTTTCCTCCTATTGTGGTTTCTAAAAAAGCAACGTTGCTTCTTCATGACAAATTCACTACCTCCAATGAGGTACTGAAATTATAGATTGCAAATATTTGTTACCAGTATGATGATAGAATGATGTGAAGAATCCAACTGATCTGAAGGACACATTTAGAACTAACCTAAATAAAAAATATAAATTTCAAATCCAATGACAAATAATGATGATAACACAAGCAACTGAGAAGGCAGCATAACTACCAGTCTCAGCCTCCACATTTCTTTTGGCAGAGCATTAATTTCAGAAAGCTTTATTACGGGAAAAACACTGAAGTTTAAGCTGGAGACATAATTAGTCTCTCATGATTTGAGAGTGATACAGATGATAAATAACATTAATTATTACAACTTATATAGCACTGTAACAGTATTAAAATATCATCTAAATGCTAAGCCACAGAAAGTGATTGTGAGAGTAGTCTAGCTCTCAGTCTCCCATTCAAAGCAGAACCACAGCCAACAGCTGTGGTTTGATCTAGCAAACTGTCACCAGCTCTTGAACACAGAGGTTCTGCAGCCTTGCTGTAAGCTGACAGACTGGAACAATAACATCCTTTTGGAGCTTCTTGGAGTGTCTGGTCTGAACTCTTAAACTGCAGAGTGAGGTTGCTGGCCCTTGTTGCACTGCTTGGCAAGGGTACAAAGACTTTGGCTCTCACCTAAGCAAGCAATTACACACTGCTGATCACCACATACCATTCCTTCTGCTCAACTAAATAAACACAGTGCTTCCCAGCCTCTCTGCCTACCTACTGCATCTGCTAACCCTAAATACTATTTCAGAAGATATACCTAAGAACAGAAATTTGCCTTTTACTCCATGCTATTAAACACAAAAGTTTAGCCTGCAAGTAACAAGAATATTTAGAAGTTAAAGCAGCAAGAAAGAGAAGGTGGCTAGGTTTAATATAAACAATGTTCAGCCTAAAGGGAGCTGCACAGGAAAACCATCACTATAATTTTCCTGTAACATGCTCTCTTGATTGACGTGGGATTCTGTACAAGTGCATAGCCAGCAAGGAGCACTGCAGTAATGGATTCTGAAAAAATCTCATATGGGATGAAGGAACACTAAAATGCACTAATGCAGGCACAGATATAAGTATCTTTGTCACTAAAAGAAGTAACAGTGTTCCAAAAGTACACAAAAACCTCCCTAGCATGGTTAATTTCCATAAGAAAAAAATGTAAAATATTTGGGTTTTTAAATGATTGTTAAGCTTATCGCACACACACAAAATTGTGAAGTGTTACACTTGACACATGCTTCTAGCAACAGGCAAAATCTCCTTTAATATAAGGAGCAAGCTTTTTAAAATTTCACTCAGTACATTTTTATATGAAAACAAGCCTCAACTCCGCAATAAACCAATTTGCAATTAAATAATTTAGAATGCTTTAACAGTATTTACTCTTTCAGAGTATGAAAAGAAAATCCGTGGTTTTGCTGTGTTCACCAAAGTGTAAATAAAAAGCATTACACTCACACTATTCAAAACTTGGCCGTAATCTGCATCAGAAACAATGCTTCCCCTGTGGTTGCAACGACTGAAATAATCAGCAGTAGTTTCACTTTGATCAGAAAAATCAGAGGACTTCAAAAGATAAGGAGAAGGTGAAAGAGAACTGAAGATGACACCACTGAATGAACAAAAGTTTATTAAAAACAAAAAAAAATCCTACCTTAAATCTCCATTATTGCACAAAAACAATGGACATTTATTATTGATTCATCTTCCTCAATTAGAGTTATACAAAAAAACATAAAACCAGATACCAAAGGGTTTAGTATTAATTTAAGGTCAAACACAAACTACAAAAATTAAGTATGCAGACCATAAAAGATTATATAAACTGATAAATAAAAACTATTTTTCTCTACAAATGTTGTCTTTTTTTCATATCAACACAAACCCAACAGTGCTAGCTATAATCTGGGCTTCTTCTCATTCCTAAGTTTAAGATGTCTTACACTAGAAGGCAAACTAAGTCCCCAAAGATGTATGTCAGACTGGCACCTAAAAAGGTGGGAGAAAATGCTAGTGCTATACATTCCTTGTTTAAAAAGGCAAAATATATCCAAGTGCAATTACATCTGCCATGGGAATTCAAGTGAAACATTCGACTGAGATACATTATGCCATGTAAAACACAGTTTTAAATGGGAAGAGTGGATTTATCATAAGCTTATTGATAACATTCTACTTCAAAAGGCATAAAGTTAAAACTAAATACAATCTTCACAGTGAAAGTGATTATAGGGGAAAAAAATCCTTCTATAAAGAGTTTGAAAATATATTGTCCTTATCAAATTCTCACCATTTAAAGAAAAATTCTTTATTCTTGATGTGCATGATTAAAAGCTAGCAAGGTGTCTAAAAGTTACACATATAACTGGTATACAAAAAACAGTTTATTGATGAACACCTGGCTCAGATTATGTTATTTTCGGACTACAGAATTTGTATTTGTTGTCACTGCTATGTTATGTTCTATTTCTCTGACAACAAATTTTCCAGCTATTTTTCAGCTACCTCTATATTTAAACTAGTATCTTAATTTTCATTAAATGTAGCTAGCTAGGTAAATTTTGATAGTTGGAAATTTGGCTAAACTGTCCTATCGCACTTGCATTTCACAAAGTATAGAGATACTGAAGAGAATTCTTCTTATTTATTATGATTACAGAAAAGAACAACTTGGGCTACAATCTCTGAGGAATTCTGTAATTCAAAATCCACTTCTCTTTGCTGTTGAGAGATCCATATACCTAATAAACTTGCTGTCCCTCCTTCTATACTTTTTGTAGTCCTATTATCTTTTCCAATGAGTTCATCAAAACTGATACATTTTAAGATGGAGAAGTGTCATACAGTTTCTTCCAAGTGTTTTCTACCTATTAGATCTCCTCTGATTTTCAGAGAGAACTAAACTGACTTCAAATGCATTATTCAGAGTAAAACCAAAATACAAGCCACAGAAACTGTAGGAAATGAATGTTAAATTATTCATAAGATTTTTACCTCATCTGCTTTTCAGGATTATTTCATTAAACAAATGCTTTGAGCTCTATTAAGCACTCACTAGTGTGAATGTACCTTGGCATTACTGGTATAAGATATATATAGTGAGATCTGATATACATATTTTTTAATATATATTCCTATGTATGTTAAAGTACTTTTAAGAAAGTATCTTGGTGTTAAGAAAATCTAAGGAGACAAGTAGTGTTTTTAGTAGCTAAAAACACTAGTTTCCGACAAATGTGGTTTTATTTGTTTAGTACATATAACACTGTTAATATGTGAGAAATTTTAAAAAGGACTGAACATTTCAGTTTAGCCCATACTAGAACACTGATTAACTTATTGTTTTGTGTGGCGTGACAAATGAGCAGCTATATTAATGAAACTCAGACAATTGTTCTATGGCAGAAGCAAAATAAAACTCTTTAAAATCACTTTGCAGCACAAAGAGCCAAGTTTAGAACAACACTTTTAATACAATACAGACCCAGAAACAAATTTTTCTCATTCTGGATACTTGTTATCATAAAAATAAATGACCAAACTTCTTACTGCGTGATATAACAGTTTCCATTAATCCTCTTCCCCAAAGAAAGACTTTGTAGTGTATATCATGTGTTTACCCCATCTATGACATAGGGTGGTAAGCCCAACAATGTGCTATACTTCAGTTACTAGTTGTTTATTACAAACATGAAAAAGATATTTAGAAAAACAAATTCCTTCTAGAGTTTACTGTCTTAGTGCTAAAAGTTTATATCTTGTTAAAAATCACACCTCGGACAAATCAAAACTTCTTTGTGGAATGGAAAAATCAAATCTCTGTGTTGCTCAGTGAAACAATCCCAAGTGGGCATACTCATAACTGCTGACGTGTTAATATCAAAACATTCATCAAATCGTGCATAGGAATGCTCACCACAGGACTACTTTGGACTGAGCTTGCTCTTGAAGAATAACCGCATTCAGATGGCTAAAGAAAAGTTATGAAGGACACTTTCACAACTTTCATAGATTTTTGTCTACAGAAAACAAAGATAATGAAAGAAACAACCAGAGGCCTATAATACTAAGAACACAACAACTATTTGAGTTATGTCATCCATCACCACACAATGAGGCCTGAGAAAGAGGGAATGAAGTACCATGTATATTCAGACTCAGCCATTATCATGCCACATCCTATGCACAGTCCGTACTCTGTTATCATAGCTACATATTTCCAGTTAGTAGCATACTTCTTGCGTAAAAAAATTATTTTTAAGATTCGCAGCAGCATTTACTATTACTACGAGGCATGTCTATTTCCATGTGTCACTAAGAATTCCCTTAAAAAAAGCCAAATACTTTAAAAAAATTAAATCTTAACTAGTGGCATAATTGAATTAAACATTTAAATTGCAATTTGGTTTTAACTGCTCTGAAGCCTGCAGAAGTTTTAACACACCCTGGGAACTGAAGCTATGCAGTACACTTAGTGGTTTTATGTTACAGTCACTCATGCACATTCTCCTGAGTTATGTTTAAAGGTGTAAGGCTGAAATCTATTTACGCAGTGAATAATAAAAGCAGCTCTGAGAAATGCAAGTTAAAAAGACAAAAAATTACCATTTCACGCTGCTTTGCCCCTCCCTATGAAGAAACCTCCAGCAGAAATTAGAAGTATATATGCATCAGAGTTATCTGTAATAGCAGTCTTTATTGTATTGCTCTCTCACTGAATCTTCTAACATTTTCTTGAGAACATACACAAAGCCAAAAATAGTAAATCATCTATTTGTAATCCAAGTGCAAAAGAAGATCTCACTAACTAATTAAAAATACTACATAATATTTGGTGGTTTTTTACATAGGTTTAGCATGTCTCTAAATGGCAGTGTAAGATGGATTTGAACTACTACAGCAGCAAAAGGCATAAAGTTTCAGACGTTCATGCCAGCTTTAAAACATAACTTTTTGCAGAGCTACCTTAGCCATTCTTATGGCACTACTACCTACTCTTGATTTTGTAAAGATGCAGATTAGGTTTTCATGCTATTGCATTTTTTTATGTTTATTAGATTTAAATATGGCATCCTATTTAAAAGTATTCAAGGTGTATTTACCACAAACTTCAGTAATCTCCTGATTTCCATCCAAATGCTTAACTTTTTAAAATACTGGTTTTGGTGTTATACATGCAGTTGTTATTTAGTATGTTTGAATTAACTTATTCTAACCCCAGCATGCTTCAACATCATTGTTGCATTCACTAACTTTATGCTTGCTTATAAAAAGAGCAGTAAAACAGCAACTACTAAAATACTTGAAAGAGGCAATTTAACGACATTAATAAAATTAAACTGAATGCCTCCAGAAAATTATACACAGAAAATGCAACTCCAAAAAATGCACATGTAATACTGTCAAACCTCATGGCCATACAATACAAATTTAAGGCAACCATGCGTATGGTGCTTACAAAACAAACTGATACTTCTTATCAAACCAGTATTTAAAGGAGACACCTATGAAGAAAAGTATAATTTTATATTTATATTGGGCCATTCAAACATCTAAAGGTAGTAAGATATTGTTTTACATTGTACTAACCCTGTAACTCCTAGCTGGTGCCACTGGATCACTGTATAGAGAAGAAGACTATAATGTGAAGAACAGAACAAGTCAGAAACACCTTTTCTGCATACATAAATTTTAAAATTTATGTTCTATATTCTACTAAAGTCCTAAAGATTTAAATACTAAATTTTAATCTATCTATAGTAGACAGAAACTTTCAGGAAGGGTGGAAGAGCCTCCAAGAAAACCTGTTATCTTTGAGAACAATTTAAATATTATTAAACCAATCTAGTATTTTTTCAAGTACATTTGTGGAAGAGAGTGAAGAAATTAAGGAGTTCTCAAATAACATGTCAGTTTTCTCTAGCTAGTTGTTTAAACCTGGCCATGACCACAGCTGCAGGCACTGGAAGATATTACTCATCTTATTATATATCAGTATTTTATAATTTATGTTAAGACAGAAAAAAGTATTGCAATGGTGCTAAACATTTAATACTTCTTTTTGTTGTTTTTAAAAGACAGGAATTTGAAACAGCAACTGTTACAGCTGCTAGTTGTTTTCTGTATATCATACAGAATCATGACACAGAAGTTATTTTAAATTTAAAACCTCACATGCAGAACAGAGTAATCTGCATATTACACATTAATTTTATAAAACATAACTCTTACAAGCAAAAAATACAACTGTTACCACTTTTAACTGTAATAATTGCAAGTGTCATGGAGAAATAAGTTAGTGTCATATGGCATAAGTAAGCAAAACCACATATATGTATTTTATATAAATAATTAAATTAATATAGAAAGAGGAGACAGACCCAAACATGGTAGGAAGGAACTGGTTTACTAAATCCAATGCTGCTATGATTTCTTTGATCATAGTAAATTCCACTCTGAGGGGTAAGGAAGGAAAGAAGAGAGAAAATAAAGGTTGCATCTGTAGATCTTGCAAACGAAAGGTTTATCTTAACATTACCCAAGTGTTCCCAAGCTTAGACCTTGTGCAGAATGGTGTAAAGTTTTCCCTAATGTTGACCCCAAATCCATTTAACTTTCTTAAGCAAGTAAATAATAAAAGCCTCAAAATTACTATGTACTTTGTATATCAGCATTAACTGTATTTCTCATGCCATGCTCAAACAAACTAGTAACTAATTTTGGTATTTTTCCTCCATAATAAAATAAAAATTCCAAAAGTTTGACAAGTGCAGCAAGAAATACATGAAAAACATAACTGAAAAGACTTGTTAATAATTAGTACAATTATTTACTTTATCTTTTTTACATTAGCTACCATTATGAATCAAAGCATTTTGGGAAGGGAGAATATTAGAAAACTAATCATTTAATTGGGGCTGGATGTTTATGTGACACCAGCATAGCCTGTACCCTACCACTATTCTTTAGATGAAGTGCACATACTGGAAGTCTAGCAATTATATTCTGGCTTATTTCTGTTGTGTTTTGACATTCTCTACACAAATTGCATATATATGCACAAGTGAGAAAAAAAATCATACACACATACAAAAAAATAAAAACTAGACAGATAAAAACATAGTAAAAATAGTGCCTGCAGAATACAGCACTTCTTATCTCGACAGGCAACAGAAAGCAGAAATATTCATATTGCTCATTTGTTTAGGAACTAAGGGAAGAGCCCTTCAAAAGTACATTGAGAAATGCTGTAATACAATAATAAGTAAATACAAAATTACTTTAGCCTAGTCTCAACACAAGCATACACTGCTGTTTTGATTCCCCCCAACCCTTAATGCAGTTGCTAATTCATCAGTACCAAAAACTGTCTGAAAAATTACATCCAAAATATTTTATTTATTGACACTATTTCCACGTGTTAAACACCATACTTTCTGGAATAGTTTCTGCAAAATCAAAATAATCCTCGTGCCTTTCTCAATAAATCACTGGATTAACATCAAGATCTCTGGCAAATTCAATCTGCCGTACATCTACATTTAAAATGTTTCTAACTATTTGATAGAGGACAAAGGGGGAGTAATAGAACACGTATCTCCATCCCAATTGAATAAACTTTAATCCAGAGAAGTGCCACCTTTAAATAGTTCCAAGAGCCCTTTCCAGGCCTCCAGCAAAACAAGATTTCTATTCATCTGGTTCCGTTGATGGTATTGCACTGATATGAAAACAGTTTCAAACACAAATTGGAAGTCAGAATCTGATCAATATGAGGGGTTTTTTTTTTCCCTAAAAACATTCATGCAGATGTCAGGAAGCTAACAAATTTATCCATGATGTTACATGCTTAGTATATTTATAAGGAATATTATATGACAAAACTACCCAATAAGTCATCATGAGAATACAGAGCTTTCTCCTTTGAACTTTGTGATAAACAGTAAACATGACTAAGAATGAAATTTAGATAATTAATGCCATTATATAACAGCATCTTCAATCTTAAAATATAAAGAAGATGTAAGGATTTAAGGGTTTTATCACCTAAAGCAGAAACAACACAGGAAATTCCAACTACCTAATTAGAAAAAAATAGGCCACACTTCTATCATTGTGTTAAAAAGAACTGGCAATTGAAACTATACTCAACCCTATTCTCATTAATATAGACTTGCCTTAAAGCTAGTGCTCACATGTCACAGAAGAATTTCAACCAATAAACAAACTAAAATAGCCTAACAATATAGACTAATTTAAGCACTATATTGTGCTTGCCTATCTGCTAGCTAATTCAGATAACACCGCTATTTAAACAGATACCACTTTTTAAGCTGCTTAAATATTCCTTTTGGTGGTACTTGATGCTTGCCTCTTCTTAAGAAACAAATTTTATGTGGCATAATACCACTGAGAATGTGATGCCATCTACTATCACTTCATAAAAATATGACAGATGTCTTTTAAGTAAAGATATACAAACTAGCTGCTTATTCTCTGGACTGCAGTAACTCTCCATTAGATTAAGTTAAAGTTTCTATGTGGTAATGGAGAACACAAATAGATGCATACGCACTTTTCCCCCCAAAGATGTCCCCCAAGTCTAATCTGTATGACACTTTACTACAAAATTTAGAAATAACAATATTAGAAAGTGCTTGCTGTAAGACAGGTGTCTTTTCTCCCTGAAAAAAAAATTACACATGTAGGCTACAGAAAGTGTTAGAAGTATAAAACTATTATAGATCTGAACATGTGATAGTACAAATTTATATACTTTTTAAAGTCACAAATTTAAAGTCAATAGTTAATACCATTACACCTCAGAAACAAAGCACAAAAACAGTCTTCCCTCAAAGAGATGCAAAGTATTAGCATATAGGGACCAAATATCTTGCAGATTTATCCTTAGTTTTGTTGTACTAAAGTGAAAGAAAATTAAATGAAGTGAAAATCACAATGTTAAAAAAAAATTAAATTGCTTTTATTTCAAAGAATGACTAAAACGACTTACAAGAAAATTCCAAGAAAACATATTCTACAAATAATGAAAAATTAAACATGAAGGAATATCCATTTATCCAGATCTGAAGTGCTTTCTGGGCTGGACCATTTAATAAAAATTAATATTTTTCCCCAACAGCATCCCAATTTATGAAAAATGAGATAATTTTGGACAGCACTACACTATGTGAAATATTTCATGTGATTTTAGTAACAGAATTTTAAATAATTAAGCCAAGTCTTATATGGTAGATTTCATTAAACTGAGACAACATTTACAAGGTTATGTAACAAAAAGCTCATCTGGAAACAGGCAAAGTACCCCATTGTCAAGCTGTGCAACTCACCATGATGCAATGACCTTCCATGGCACCTTACAGGCTCAGGAAGGTCACTGCCTATGTGGTACAGGACATGAAAGACTTTACAGAAGGAAGGGGAAACAGTATTTTGTGATCAGGGAGGAATTAAAGCTGGGAACAGAGGAATTAAGTGTTTTCAGGAGGAGCAAATGTGTGAAAAGAAGGAACAGTGTGAAGAAAGGGCCAGCTACACGTAAAGAGAATGGGACTCTACCAGAGTTGGCAACTCTTAAGAATACTAATAAAAACAGCTTTGTAATAATAGTTTAGCAAGTGTCCTATGTTTCCTGTCACTCAGTAACAGCAAAATTTGTGAAATGTATACTTCTTTTTTTCATCTTAGAAAACTTAAATTTTCACAGCAAGCTTGTTTTTTTACAGTTCATTTAAAAATTTCACAGGTATTTTAACTGTAGGTAAGGTGCAATACAAAATACAATTTAATATCAACCTAAGCCTACTTGTAACACAAGAGAAAAAAGAAACTGACGGTAGTTTGAAAATATTACATCATATAGTAGTAGCATGCTGGAGTATTGCCCAGTATAATGTTCAAAATGAGAAGTTATGAGAGGATTTCAAGAAAATATATTTTTGTCTAGTGTTACATCTGAAAATTTCTTCTAGACATCAAATTAACACCAGAAATTCCCCAGATTTAGATTTTATATTTGTTTATAAGTTAATATAGCCCAGATTTAGCTAATATTATTTCACACTGTATTCATATTCTCTCAATAGTTCCAATACATCCAGTATTAACAATATATTAAATGATATTTTAATATTGTAGATGTAATTATAGACTATGGTCCTTTTTGTGTTACTAAAACTATTACCTACAGGACCCATAAGTCACTGGATCAGTTTTAATCAACTTAACTATTTATTTTTTTAAAACAATTTCAGTCTCTAATTATTACCTCCAATAAGCAACCTTGCTATCAGTGAATGAAGACAGATCACTCAGACATTATCATCCCGACACTAACTTAAACTGCTAATAGGTATAAAAGGTATAACAGTCTACTAAAAAACGCTTAACTTGCCTAAACTAGGAATACCACAAATATACAGAAATACCCATTACTGAAAAGACAAAATCTCTGTATTTCAGCCTTGCCTGTTGTTCTAAAATCACAACATAAAAGAGAAAAATGTCTCCTATTGTAACTTTCAATAACACGTTTGTACCTGTCAAGGCTGATGGACAACCATTTCCATTTTATTTTACTTGTCTATTGAGGAGTTTGGGAGAGAGCGACTGAAGAGATTAATTCCCTTCACAACTGTAAGTGTTTTTTTCTTTCAGCTCTCACATTTGCTATCACAAAGTACTTGATTACATCAATCATTGCAGCAGTCCCATTAACACCATGTTCTATAAGCATGCTTTCACCAAACTACTGCTTTGCTAAGTAAACACAGAAAACATTAGAACGTGAACACATCACACTAAGTAAAAAGTGCTGATTCCAAGTTACACACCACAAAAACTCTCCTTTTGGAGGTACTTGCTCTGCTCCTGTGAGATGCACTGACATCTGAGGAACTCTTGAGAATGAAATTATAAAAATACATTAACATATTAAATAAAATTTAAATTTAATTCTATTACTTTTCATAATGAAAATGACAGAAAATAACCAAGGCAGTCAAAGAAGTTCTAAGTAAGCCCCCCAAAAATGAGCTCAGTTATCCGCCAAATTGAAACCCTCTTGTTTGGACAACAGCCAATTACTTAATCTCCATCTTAGCATATTTGCTGTCAGCCAAGATAAAAGCAGATCTGAGCAAAGCTATACCAGCTCACAAGTTTCTAAGAGTTGCACATAGCATGTTTTCTTGATAAAGCATTTACTGTTCAAAATTATTTGGCAAAAATATGTGTGTAGCAAATTGCAGAAATACTTAACACTAGTACTTGCATGACATTATACAAAATTCAGTTAATCAGAAACTACATTTAATTGCAAAGACCTCTTAGCAAGTGACAATCACCTTTTTTAAAGTCATACAAAGAAACAGCTCGTTCCAATTTCCAAAATACATAAAACCAACCCTTCTATTTTAGTAATTTATCCCTTTCCTGGCCAGATCAATGACCAGCTGATTTCTAGGCAGATCCAAGACCAGGAAAACGTTAACATAACCGCAAAAACCTGTTCTTTAGCAATATATATATGGCCTAAAGATGACATAAAAGAACCTATACAAAAAATATTTCAGGATACCTTACATCATTCAGCTAAATATTTTGCCATTAATGAATAATATATTCCCACCTTCTCCAAGAAAGAGAATCTTGCATCATACCAAACTCTTCTTCAAATTGTATCTTAAGGTACTGATACCTTTTCTTTCACAAATGCTCAAAGTATTTGTGAAAGATACACAAATGCTCATTTTCACAGTAATGCTCAAAGTGTAAGAAAAGACTGGAAGATTGAAACATAAAAATAAACTACCTTTTTAACACTGATGGAAAGAAAATACCAGATGAACTTGAACATTACATGTGACTTAAAATGACTAAAACTACAAATACTTATGAGACTTGAAGTTTCATCCTCTCCATTAGAAAAATAAGCCAGAACCCAAACCCTTTTTTCCTTTGGTTTGGTTTCTGAAGGCTATGATCAAAAAGAAAAAGTATACAGTTTGAACACAAACCAAATATGAATGTCGACTGGAGTGGTGAGAGTATCTGGCCCTCTCTGCATCTTCCTGAGAAAGAAGAAATGCAGAGTTATTTCATAAGGAAGGGAAAAAACCCCTGACACAATACTAGGAAGCTAAAGTGAGCAACATGCTGATAGCATTTTTAATGCTATGTGTCATTTTGAATAATCCATAGTGGCAAGTAAAGTCACTCAAGCCAAAAGAGCTCATTTCACCTGATCTGCGTAAGTATGCCAAGTTATCACATTAGGGAATATAAGTAAGGCAGGTTAATATAATTAATAATTGGTTTTCAGTAGTCAGCCTTTCTTATGATTAATATATTAATGCAGAAAAAAGCACAAAACTATTTAAATTAAGAAATAAAAGTAAAAATAGAGAGCTTTACAAAATTACAAGTACACTAGTAAGAAATGTACCATATACTACATTGAGATTTTAAGTCATTTACAAAGTTATTTGAGCCCTAAGAGAAATTATTATTCTCAGTTGCCTCATATATATTTTGCATTTTTTTCTCTATTAGGGGAACAAAGCTTCTTAAGCAAATTGACCAGTTTTAAGTTCTACAGCTAGTTTTCCTATACAGTGACAGTGAAAATAATAAACCAAACTCAAAATCCGAGTGACGAAAACTAGGTAAGGCACCTCAATATCTTTTATTCTGTTTAAAGATGAGAGAATGTTCATTTTGGTTTACACAGGAGAATACATGAAAGATGCAAGACAAAAACCACAAATAATTTAAAATCAAAACATTTCACATGCCATAAGCATCTCAAATTGTTACAGTATGAAAACATGTTAAGAATTAACTTTAATTTTAAAACTATCTCATCTGGAGGCTACAACACTGTTCTAAAAGTAGGAATTGTTCCTTAACTTACCTATTTCCTACAGTTTTCAATATATTGAACTATAATTATTTATAGAATTAAAGGCTTTGTCTCCAGATCATAGATGGGTATCTAAAAATTAGATTTCTTATTGCTTATGGTCACATGGTTGCCATCTGCAGTTTCACTGGATACATTAATTTGTTTAAAACTATTTTACAACTATTCAGTATTCAATAGGCCTCTTTAAAATTCTGCCACAGAATTGCCATGGGGGAGAGTGTATGTTCATTTCATAATGACATTTTAGTCTTTCTCTCTATACTGTTTGTGTTGAGGTTTAAAATGAATGCTCAAGGTATTTAACTTTTCAACACAATATAGTTAGATCATTGCTATTTTTAAATATTCTTTGTGTCTCTGGTCTAAATGGACAAGTACCTCTTAGTAACACCTGCAGCAGGCAAGAAGAAAGTTTGCTACTTATCTAAGATACCTCTTAATTGGTGGGTAACAAGTCTCTTCCTGACATTCCATCAGAAAATAGAAAGCCTATTAAATGTTCAGCATATTCAGATCAAAGGATTATGTACTACAGTATGCATTACCAGCAGCACCTATCTGTTTGTATCGCAAGCTTGATTTCTAAAAGTTCAAGTTTGAATTATGCACATTATCCAATACAGAGGCTACATCTCCCAAACCAGGAAAGGAGTGCACATCTGTTTAGAAATCTCCTGCAGCAGATGTACCCCTTAGGACTGCAAAAGGAAGGTGGCATTCAGTTGAGTGGCATTAATTTTGAGTGAGATTCCTCGCAAATACCATGTTTTGGAAACCCTTGCTCTCAAGCAAAAAAAAAAAACCTTTAAAGGTACATTCTGCCAAGAAATGCAGAAACTATGCTGATCTTGAGAACATAAGAACTACTGTATACACATACCAGATAGGGAAAGAGACAAAGACTGAATACAACTTCGCAAATAAAATTCTAGTGACAGTCCTAGGATTTCTCAACAGATATTAACTGCCATTGTAGCTTTAACTATTTGAAATGATGGCTAGTCTCAGCATGCATTACTTAAATCTTGGTGATTCAAAACATTTCCATAGTGAACACTTTCCTAAAAGCCAGAAAAACCCGACATCTCCCATATACCCTTTTAAGAGGCACATTAATTTTGTGAAAGGAACCCTCTAAAGAAACTGAGCAATTAAGTCAGTCTCACTCCAGTCCTGGGTAAAATTATGGAAAAGTCTATTGTGGGAGGTACTGAAAACACCTAGGAGAAACTCAGTCATTGGTCACAGCCAGGATGGCTTCAAGAGAGGAAACTCCTGCTTGTCAAACCTCATTTTGTTACACAACAGGGTAATCCACCTAAGTGACCTAAGAGAGTTGGTAGATTGTATTTCTTTTTACTTCAGCAAAGCTTTTGATACCATCTCTCACAAGATCCTTCTAGACAAAGTGTCCTGCACACAGCTGAATAACCATGTTATGTGATGAATGAGCAAATGGCTCACAGGTCAGGCACAAAAGGTTGTAGTGAATGGGGTGACATCAAACTGGCATTAGATCACTGGTAGGGTTCCACAGGCTCATCTTAGGCCCAGGTCTCCTCATAAATGACTTGGATGCAAAAGGAATAATAAGTTTGCTGATGACACCAAATGGGAGGAGCTCGAGGGCAAGGAGGACCCACAGCAAGACCTCAGCAAATCAGAGAGATGGGCAAGCACCAACGATAGTGTCTTGGTTTGAAAGACAGGTGCCTCCCAAGGAAGGTGGGAACCTCCCTTGGAATGGAAAATGTGACCCCCTTCCCTCCAAATTATTATAACTTTGACATTACGTGGCTGTCAGGCAAATATATGGGAAAAAGAATAACAGTTCTTTACTAGTGTGCGTATACATATATACACACACACACACATATATATATATGTATGTGTACACACATAAAACAAGGCAAACAAACAACAACAGTGGGAATGACCACAAATAGAACCAGAAACCCAGTAACAGCTGTGGCACTGTCCCCTTTGGTGCAGTTACAGTCACAGCCAGCAGGGGCGCTGTTTGCTCCCGGCTGGGCCGGGTAGGTGCGATGATTCCCCCGCACCTGGAGGGGGCGCTGTGGCATGAACCCATCTACCTCTCTCCAGGTGGGTAATGGTGGCACAGCCAACGGGAGAGATAGAAAAGGGCTTCCTTTACAAACTCATGGGAGGCAGCTGGTCCTGGTGCCCCTATGGATGATGAAATGGACTGCAGCAGGAACCGTGGAGCAGCAAGCTGGAAGGCAGGCACACCTGGGGTGGTAAAAAGTGTAGCAAAACTCCAGAGCTCTGTCAGATGCCACAGTGTGTAAGGGCAGGCAGGGGCATATTGGGTTAAAGTGTAGCAGCAGCAGAAAACAGCAGCACTGGGCAGCGGCAGTCGGCTTTCTGCAAGCACCCAGGAGACAGAAGGGGGAGGGGGTCAGGGTCCTGGGTTTTCCCCTGCAGCACCCGAGTAGATGGTGAGGGTCCCTTCCAGTGAGATTGGGTGTTGAAAAGTCCCAGTTCAAAAGCCACTCTTCCTAGCAAAGGCTCACCCATGTAAGGAAAAGCAGCGTGCACGACAGAACTCTGCATTGACAATGAATTCTCCCCGCAGCAGCAGCACGTCTACCCTCTGAGAATAAGAGAGAGCAAGGGACAAACCCAGCCCCTTATCCCCCAGCCAAACTCTCATAGTATCTCTGCTCTTGCTAAGAGCAGGCCCCTCAGCTATGAGAGTGCAGCCAGGGCACCCCTTTCCCCCATTTTGGCCACATCGTTTGTTTCTTTCAAGTATCCATTGTTCCAGTCTCTTAGGCAACAAATGGGAAAAGAAAGAAGGATGGAAGGAAGAAAGGAGAAAGAAAGGAGGGGAGAGAGAGGGGAGAGAGAGGGGAGAGAGAGGGGAGAGAGAAAGCTTGAACAAATCCTAACCTCCAACACATATGAAGTTTAACAAGGGTAAGTGCTCGATTCTGCACTTGGGATGGGTCAACCCAGGATGTACAGACAGACTGCGGAATAAGACACCAGAGAGCAGCACCATGGAGTCCTGGCTGATGGTAAATTGAATGTGAGTCAGCAGTGCCTGCACAGACAGGAGGGCCTACTGTGTCCTAGGTACATCAGGCACTGCATCACCAGCTGGGCAAGGGAGGGGATTGTCCCGCTCTGCTCTGCACTGCTGCAGCCTCACCTTGAGTCCTGTGTGCAGTTTTGGGTGCACAATATAGGAAAGATACAAAACTGTTAGAGAACCCCCAAAAAGGGCAGCCAAGATAGTGAAGGGGCTGGAGGGAAAGCTGAACAAGGAGCAGATGAGGTCACCTCTCTGTTCAGCCTGGAGGAAACTGAGGGGAATCCTCACTGCAGTATGAGCATACTCACAAGAGGAAGTAGAGAGGCAGGGACTGATCTCTTCTGTGCTGACCAGTGACAGGACCCAAGGAACAGTCAGTCAGGGGAGGGTTGGACTATGTACATATATAATTCAACATACATATATAGTTTATATGTCTGTGTGTATGTGTATATATATTTTACACATAATTAGACACTTTGAAATAACACACAGCAAACCATTAGTAAACTACTTCCTCCAAAATCCTGCGTTAGATCTCTGAGTGGCAAAAACATGCACAACAGGTGGTTTTAGCCTACCATCCATTTCTGGATATGAGCCCATTTTCTATCATACAAATGCTGAGAAAACTATAGAATGTAAAAAGAAAACCAAACAAAACATTTAAAATATAAGTTATAGTCACCACACAAGACTGGATTCCTAAATTGAAAACTCAGAGATCTACAGAATAACAGCAGACATTTACAGCAATTCAAAATCTCAAACTACAATGAGAACCATATAAAATTGAGGCAAAAAATGTTCTGCATATTTCACCTATTACCACAGAAAAAAACCCCACAACAACCAAGTATGAGTATTACATGGATTTGAGTGCAATCATGACACATAATAAATTCTCAGTGTTTTACAAGCAATGTCAAAACCTGAATTAAATACAACAACTATGCAATAACCAGAATGCTGAAAACCTAGTTTCTAGGATTTTTTTTCCCTCAAGACATGCAAACTTTCTTTAGGAGAAACATAAGGAGCAACACACAACTGTATGTGTAAATATTACTCCATTTAAATATTTTTTTAAAATAAAGATCTTGACAACAGATCTACAACACAGTATTTACTGTGAATCCTTTCAGTATAATCCAATTCTAATGCTGAAAATACTTATACAAAACGGAATTACACAAAAGACAAAATCTTACGGAAATGCAGAAATAAAATACTTTACAAATTTTTGTAAAGGTTTGCAATAATTCCTGGTGAGTTACACTACCTCTTTTTGCTGTCGCTCCAGCTCTCTCATACGTATATCTCTTGCTTCTGCTCGAGCTGCCCGTTTTGCTGCAAGTCTGGCTTCTGCCTACAAGCAGATGGAAAATAATTAAAGTTTAAAAAAATTTTTTTGAATAATGGTTTGAGTATTCAAATCTCTTCAAAAGTACACATTAAGATTTTAACATCATAATATGGAAGTAATAAAGAATGACATTTCAAAAAGAATATGTACCTAACTCTTTAAACATAGCATTGCTAGTCAAAAGAATTAGATGATCATTTAAGAAGTCTTAGAATGGCTTGGGTGTGAAGGGGCCATAAAGACCATCTAGTTCCAATGCCCAGGTCAGGTGCCATCAACTAAACCAGGCTGCTCAGTGCTCCATCCAACCTGGCCTTGAACAGTTCCAGGGATGGGACATCCACAACTCTGGCCAACCTGTTCCAGTGGCCAGGAACTCACCACTCCCCTAGTAAGAATTTCCTCCTAACATCTAACCTAAACCTATTCTCTTTTAGTTTAAAACCATACATTCCCCTATGTCCTAACACTATCTGCCTTTGTAAAAAAAAAAACTCACTCTCCCTGTTTTTCATAAGCCTGTTTCAGGTACTGGAAGGTCACAGTGAGGTCTCCCTAAATACATCTCTTCTCCAGGTTGAACAACTCCAGCTTTCTCAGCCTGTCTTCATAGGTGAGGTGCTCCAGTCCTCTGAGCATCTTTGTGGCCATCAACAACTTCTCCCAGTCTGGACTCACATCTGAGATTGCCCTGACTGACATGCAGTATGTTGTACTTGGACTTGTTGAAATTCAAGAGGTTCTCATGGGCCCAAATTTGTCCATGTGGTCCCGGGTAGCATCCCATCCTTCTGTTGTGCCAACTGCACCACTCTGCTTCACAGATCTGCAAACTTGCTAAGGGTACACTCAATCCCACTGACAGTGTCATTGATGAAGGTATTAAACAGCCCTGGGAATATGAGGGAATCAATTTTGCCATATAGCTGAAGTTTGAAGAAAGCACAAGCTCAGTTTTTTCGTATTTGAATAATGAGTTGACAAAAATTCTTCAAATATTAAACCACTGAAGACAGGTTTTCCACCAAAGATTCCAGTAGCCTATTTAATGTTAATTAAAAGCTTTCTGAGAATCAGCAGCAGCTAAAAATTCAGAACTCCCAACAACCAACCAATTACAGAAGTTCTTAAAATGTAAAATCCAATGGATTTTTTGCTTTTGATTAAGTATAGAGTTTTCCCTGCTTTTGCCACCTTCACAGTAAATGTTTATGTCGAACACTGGAAACCTATAAAACTGTTTTACTGTGCTTCAGGAAAATGAAACAGGTATATAACTTGGTCTATAACTTGGGAGTTTAACTTCAAATTATGATTAGACTACAGGCACAAAAATATCAAATAATGACAAGACAGAAGGCAGACTCACTATAGCTTCATTACTCAAAATAATTTGTCCTAACTCCAAATGACTCGTGAAAACTTTTTTTTTTGAATTTTGCATATGCAGATAAAATAATTCCACGGCTGTGTCAACACTCCTGACTGCCATAACATAATCATTTTTCAAAGCAGCATAAAGTTACTCTTCTTTCTACCTGATAACATACAAGTAAAGCAAGGAAATTGCCATGCAAGAGGAAGTACTTCTATTTGTAGCCCATTATTGCTCTCTGGCATATAAACTTTCACACTGACAGGTATGCAGCACAGAAAAAAAAAGGACTCAAAGAGCTGATAAGTTTGGGTATAGCTTTGTCTATAAAACAGCAGATACATGCATTTGACCTTTATGCTCTGGCAAGGCTTTACTGTTAAGTTACAAATTTAATACAAAGATAATACTGTTAAGATACAAAGTTAATTGGTTTACTGATTCATGTTAGAAATGAATTCACATTTCACTACTCTCCCCAAGTCGTACACCCAGAAACCTAACTTTAAATTCCTACAGTAAAAGGGAAGCTCAATTTCTTATCATTTACCAAACCCTTGATACAACACAAGTGAATTTACAAATATTTGTCATAAAATGGGTGCCAGAAATAGAAGAAAAAGAAAATCTTATCTTTTTAGATTTTTCCTAAGAAATGGCTTAATATTACATTAATTTTTAACCTGAGCAACCAGATTCCTGTAAAATGCACACAATCTCAAAAAAGACAAAAACCTTGGCAAGTTAACTAAAAGGACAGCTCTCAGGCTTCCTTCACCATACTTCAGAGCAGTAGACACGTTTCCGTACCATTAGAAAAGCCATAATACCCAGTAATTCTTAGTGCTCTTCTTAGGGCATAGATTGTAGCAGCCACACAAGTTTTCATAGCTATGTTATTGAAATTCAAAATCATCAATAATAGAGAAACAACCATAATTCAAAAGGACATAGTTTTCTTCCCGGGTGCTGCTATTCACTCTGTTGCTTTACTGAAAAAACCCATGAAAGTTGTGAAACAAATTACCACCAACAAATCCTTTAAAAAAATTTCATCTGCTGGGTTGAAATAAAGTCTTTAAATATCTGCTAAGGAAAATGTAGAGTCGCAATAGCTTTGGATGAAGTTTGGACTATAGGAGACTAGACTACTCATTTTGGGTTTTTTTTAATAAACCAGCAAAAGTAGAGGCAGTCATGCTCTCATGCTTTTCAATTCAACTAGTATTTGACTTGAGAGAACATACCAAAAAGATCCCTATTAATTGCTCATAGTACCTTGGAAGCCAATACAGATTGCCTTCTACAGCTTGCATTAAACAAAGTCCAATCTTAGAAAAGGATAGACTGGCCACTACAGTCCTGATTTCAGTTTCACTGGTCATTATTCTCTATACAGTCTTTAGACCAGACACACATTAATAAAATATATTATAAGTATGCATTGTAATACTATCTAATTGAAGTACAGCTTATTATAAAGTGATATAACACACCAAGCTTCTATTTTTCTGAAGTAAAAATTCAACTGTGTATTGTCCAAGATCTAGCAACTCTGACACTATTTCAGAAGCTTCCTAAGGGAACTTTCAAATGGTAAAAAGAAGTGGGATAGCTGACATGTCTTGAAGAAATAAGATAGGAGGTATTTAAACCTGGTACACTTACACTAGTGGCTTAAATGGAAAGAATGTTATAAAATCTGGAGGGCATACAACCATCAGGTAAAGATACAATAATTCAGCATGGAATTTATTCAGAGAATTGATCAAAAACGGACATAGAAGACTACAGAGGAGATCTTTGTAACAAAAGAAATTGGATAGGAAAACAAGGAAGAGGTCCTTGAGAATTTACTTGGGTAAGAAAAAAAGACTAATTAATAAATTATTAATTTATAACTAAATATCTAAACTCTCTTTTGTATATGAACACACTCATACTACTCATATTTACCTTCTACTCTGGGACAAATTTGTGTTTTTAAACTAATCCTGTGTTTCTTTGGGTATTAGCTCTTGTCTAAGTCACAAAACAAAGCAAT